CCACCCCTTTTTTTAATTGTTCCCCTCTGATCAGGGATTGATTTAGACCTGGGACACCAGGTGTCTGCAATTGATGATCAGGTAGAAAAGAAAATCAGCAGGCTCCGGACCTCGTAGGTTAAGAGTTGAATACATACATCTTCAATATGCTTTTTGAAAGATAGCTTTTCGTCAATCCAGATAGGGACACTATCAACGTGAGCACCATCCAATGTACATATGCATAAATCATCATAAAACATCAATTTTTGGAAAGTAACATATAATGCATGTATCTGCATTAAGTACCAATTTCAGTTCAACAAAGGCTTTATGTAAAGCAAAAAAAGCAGATTGTAGTTCTGAAAGAGCCTTGGCAACAGAATACAGAACATTATTGTCCGCATACAAGTGGAGGTTACAATTTCTTACAGACAAACCAATATTTTTTATATAGACAGTAAAAAGTACAGGGCCCAAAATCGACTCAAGACCATCAGAAGAAGCACAGTGTCCTGTCGTTCAGTTAGTTTTCAAACCAAATGCAGGCTGCCTGACCCAGGCTAATTTCAGACAGTCTAAGAATTAATAATGAATGGTCAACAGTGTCGAAAGCCTTCGGCAGATCTATAAAAAGGGCAGCACAATGCTGCCTTTTGTCCATGCCATTTACAATGTCATTAACCACCAAAGAAGGAGCAGATATAGTGCTATGACTTGGCCTAAACCTGGCTGATTGACACTTAAAATACATTTTAAAGCTAGTAAAGATCCAAGCTGAGTGTTGATTAAAGATTCAAACATTTTCGCTAGGCAAGTCATTTACATTTACATTTTAGTCATTTAGCAGACGCTCTTATCCAGAGCGACTTACAGTTAGTGCATACATAAAAAAAATTCATACCCCCTGTGGGAATCAAACCCACAACCCTGGCGTTGCAAACGCCATGCTCTATCAACTGAGCTACATCCTTACAGTTTGAGAGATTGGGCGATAATTATTCATGTTAGAGGGGTCACCACCTTTGTGGTGAGGCAGCACATGGGCAGCCTTCCAGACCCTAACGGTAGCACCTGAGATAATTGTCAGGTTAAAAATAAGTGTCAATGATTCCAAAATTATTGACCTCCCGAGTGGCGCAGTGGTCTAAGACACTGCATCGCAGTGCTAGCTGTGCCACTAGAGATCCTGGTTCGAATCCAGGCTCTGTCGTAGCCGGCCGTGATCGGGAGACCCATGGGGTGGCGCACAATTGGCCCAGGGTAGGGGAGGGAATGGCCGGCAGGGATGTAGCTCAGTTGGTAGAGCATGGCGTTTGCAACGCGAGGGTTGTGGGCTCGATTCCCACGGGGGGCCAGTATGAAAAATAAAAAAACTATGTATGCACTCACTAACTGTAAGTCGCTCTGGATAAGAGCGTCTGCTAAATGACATAAATGTAATTAGGGGAGCAGAAAGCTGCAGCAAGAAAGGATCAGCCCAATGGATTTATTTTTTATCTTAAGCAGGGTGTCTAGCACATCACAAGTAGGAAGTTGAAGTGAAAACAAAGACTCACTAGAAGTTTACAGATATTACATCCTGCCAAATAGAGGCATTGGGTAGAGAGGAGGGAGGTGGGCAGTGGGGGACATTGCGTAGAGAGGAGGGAGGTGGGCAGTGGGGGACATTGGGTAGAGAGGAGGGAGGTGGGCAGTGGGGCATTGGCACAGCAGTTTCCCCTATACTCTAAAAATGAATACCAGATCATATAAAGGACTGATCCCTGGTCCCAACTGATCATCTTGAAGCAGATTACCAATAACGATACACATGAGCTCTTTCCGCATTACTTGCAAATAAATATAAAACTGCACTCTAAAATCTTAAGCACTGCGTCTAGCACATCACAAGTAGAAAGTTGAAGTGAAAACAAAGATACACTAGAAGTTGATAGATCTTACATCTTGCCATATAGAGGCAGTGGGGGACATTGGGTAGAAAGGAGGGAGGTGGGCAGTGGGGGACATTGGCACTGTACATTTTATTGTCATTATCATGAATGACATACACAATAAATTAATTTCTAGACGTAGGAAGGATCATTATCAAAGGAATATGGCATGACATTGTAAAAATAAGCATATACAAGAGAGCACAGCCTTATGAACAAAGTTTCCTGGAAATATCGTGTCCAAAATGAGACAAGCAATTTTTTCACCATAGGAGAGTAGTCCTGTAAAAATGTATTTCACATTTTCCATAAAATGTTTAAACTATAGCACTAAAGAGCCACACTAGCCCAACATTATGGGAAAATAGTACCAATTAGCCTATTGCATATTTTATGCGTACCCATGGCCTCTCTTATGTAGAGGGCCCACTGTTTTGCACCTCTGGAGTTCACATCACATTCTGGAGTTAAGTTTACCATCTCACTTCTAAGCAATAAATCACAGCTGTCAGAATTTGTTATGAATAATGCTCCAAACAAATCCAACTGAACAACCAACTTCCCAAAAAACTGAACAATGGATATCAAGTAGCAGTCTTATAATTTGGCTTAGATTTAATGCATTTACAACAAATACCTTCCTCTAATCTTCTACTTAACACTACTGACTACAGTTTAGACACCGCTTAGACTCGAGCAACCAAGTGAAAACAAACACGTGAACAAACATGACCTCTTTCAACTATCTGTCCTCTTTGTCTGTCCTGGTCTGTAGCTCACCATTAAGCTATGAGGCTGGGAGCAGCTGGACATGTGGTTGGCATGGCAGAATGGGAAGTGTTCTAAGTTTCAACTCTCACATTTCTCCTAACATTAACCCGTCTAGGGAGGAGGGCCTGACAGGCTGAAGTAAAGTTTGACAACAGGTGTTCCACTTATTTTACTCCATCAGTTTACATTATGCATCTAGTATAGTGCACATTCTAGCCTAATTCACTCTTGTCCCAAAACTATCCAAAACAAAAGCACATGTAGCCTACTTAAAATATATTTTAAAAAGTGTCACAGAACATCAAGACCAAAACTATCAATTCCACAACACTATTTTCAATCTTTATTATTTCTTCAAGGGTGTCACAATGCAAAACCTCAGTCCCAATAATTTTGGCACAGGAGTGAATTAGACTAGAATGTGCACTAGACTAGATACATAATGTAAACTACCCAATTTTATTTGGTGTACAAATGACTAATCTGTTGACTAATGAGACTAAGATTGTGAGTGGAAAAATTCCACAACCTTTGCTCCCCCTTGTGGGGTGACCAAGCTTATATTTCCAACACCATATTTTCAGTTCAAGCTTAATTTGTACAGTATGAGCCATAGAAATAGAATGGATAGAACAAGCGTCCCCATTCAAGTCAAAGATGGCATAATCGGTGGACTGGCGACCACTGGGAGTGTACCCATAGGAGCAAAGCAGGAAGTAAAAGCAGCAAGTGTACCCATCAATCTGTGCTGTGATTTGTTGAATCAACTCAACTAACATTACAAAAAAATACATTCCATTGCATGAGCCACATCTGTTAGCATCATTTGAATGAACAATCTACATTACCATGGAAATTATTGTATCACAATACCAGACAGCCATTGCGAGTGTACCCCATGAGTTTACCAGTCAAATTGCCAGGGTAAGAGGTTCCAAGCCGGTTCTATTGATTCTATTTCTATGGTATGAGCGTCCTATTCAGTTGGTGTTATTGACAGTAATAACATTGATTTAAGAATATCCATTCCCTAGAACATTTAATCAGAGCACTAGTTGGGACAACTTGTCAGGGGCGCTGTGGAAGTAATTTTACAAGTATTTTGCTGTCAAGATTCATGATGAACAAGGGTCAGTAGCTAATGTGGGATTACTGTATTGTTTGACAAGGCTGGAGACTCAAAACCTGAAAAACTATTTGGTCAATTGAAGGCAAATCATTTAACAGTTGTGGAATGTTCCAGATCTTGGCGTACTGGAGCTTTGAACAGTTTACCAGCATGTTTATATATTCCGTTCCGATAGAGATCCCCCTTCCTGTCAGAAAGATACACAAAAACACTCAGAGCCCAAAATATCTCTGACAGTTTACTGATGCAAGTGAACCAATGTTGATAGTATTTGGTTACCTCAAACAAAATAAGTAGCTAAGAGTTCGTCAGCTTGGATTTTCATTTATACCCAAATAAGATTAATGTTGAGTTGTTCTTTACGCAACAATGGCATTTTCAAAATAAATAAATAATACAATGCATACGAAGTAGTCAATTTATCCATTGTATTCAAGTACTGTAAGAGACAAACAAAATGCCAATTTAAGCATAATTATAGCAAACATTCTATAGCAATTTTCACACAGATCAGCCCTCAATCTTTTTTTGCAAGACGAGTGGGATCATAAACTTCCCTGCAGTAGTAGATACCCAAGGGACTTCAAATTGGCCTTACTCACTCCACTGTGCTCCTCACAAGACCGTTTCTATCCCTTTCAGAGCATTGTGCCTTCAGCATAGTGGACGGCTCCCAGCATCGGTTCTAAGAGGTAGGTAGCACATTTTATTAACAGTCTATGTATGTGATATTCTGGCATCGGAACTAACCGATTATTACAATTATCTTGAGCAAATGTCCAACTTCCAACCATCTACTTTTGAAGCCAAATAGGTGAATTATGCTAGCAACTGGATGCTTTGTTCATTGTCTTTGATACCATTTTATTCAACTATTAAGTTTTACCCTCAATATATGAATTGTTTGTTTACCTCCTTGAGTATCATTAGGCATAATTTGAAAATACTGTGAATTCCAACTCGATGATTGCGTTCAACTTACAAATATGTAATTTTGACTGCCCACAAAGCTGGCCAAGACAGTGAGCAGACACTGATTACCGAAAATGGTAATGAGGGTCAATAGTCTGTCTTCACCACTTCCCCTGAGTGTGTGCAGTAAAGGAGGCTCTTACCTAGAGACATCAGCACCTACAGTAATGCTTCATTTTGTTCTCATCCCTTAATTTTCTGAATACAGATTAAGAATGGAGGTTAAGGTATCAGTGGAGGGGGTCCCACGTGTTGTCTGTGGAGTTACTGAGAAAACCACATGCCAGGAAGTAGTCATAGCTTTGGCTCAATCCCTTGGTGAGTACACATCTGGCAGCATTTATATTTTAGGGTCTCATTTCACTGTATACTTTACATGATTTCTAATCCAAATCAATCCTTTCAGGTAATAAATTCATCCCAATTATCTTCCTTTGCTTAGGTCGTCCTGGGCGCTACACACTTCAGGAGAAATTCAAAGAGTTTGAGCGGAATGTGACACCTAATGAACGGATTCTGGAGTCTCTTGCGAAGTACGGACAGCAGGCCAGAGAGATCCAGCTCACCCTGCTGCACAACGGGCCATCCCTCTGGGAAGGGCCTAGCAGAGGGAAAGGCGGCAGATACGAGGCTGGCCCTCAGCTTAGGAGAGCAGATGCTGGGGGCAAAGTACAAAGGGTTAGCGGTGGGCTTAGTTTACACCGTCAAAGCCTACCGCCCTTATCGTGCCTGCGGCAACAAGCCGAACAGCCACATGAAGAAGAACCAAAAAGGACCAAAAGAAAGTCCCTGACCCTGATGGATGAGGCTTGGGGATGGCTGGAGAGCCTAGGAAGGGGCGCAGTGAACCAATCAGGCCGCAAAAAGGGGAGCAGGAAGGACACTGTCAAAAGGGATGGTAGTTCCCTGAACGTTTCTGTCACTGTTGCCAAGGATCCCTCCACTCCTGGGGTTTTGCAGAGCAAATTTAGAGAAAAGAGTGCCAAGTCCACTGAGCACCATCAAATCTCCTGCTGCATGGGAGACCAGGGCAGGGACAGAAAGAAAAGTAACCTATGCATTTCTGATGAGGGTAAGGACATCCAACATGTTAAGAAACACCCAGAGGTTAGCATGGCAAAGATAAAAGCTGAGGGCCAGCAGAATCCAACCAGTGCCCTTAAGATGGTTGATGAAGAAAGGAAGTTAAGAGGACTAGTTGCTCTCCAACAGGCTAGTCTGAAAGAGCTGCAGGTCCAAATAACCTGTACGGATAGCCAGATTCATGAGCTGGAGGAGCAACGAAAGGCCAGGCAAGAGGCCCAGCAAAAAATTGGGGAGGAGGCAGAGCAGCTGGAATTTTGGAAGAATGAGCTGAAGGCCGAAGAGGGATATGAGAAAGACTTGCAGGAACAGTTCCTGGAGATGAAGGTGAAAGCTGTGGAGTGTAAGGCCAAGTTGGAAGAGTACAAATGCAAAATGCAAGGACTTGATTCCTCAAGGGACAGGAGAACTGTTCAAGAGGAGCAAGTGAATGTTCCAAGCCAAGATGCCACATCTCCGGCTGCTGCAGGGTGGACAAGGCTGAATAAGGCCCTGAATCAATCAAGATCTCTTACAGTCCGTGTGGTAAATACTGACAGGAAGTTTGCTCCAAGAGTGGACTCCAATCATCCTCATGCTTTAGTTCCTCCAAACCAGATCAAGGACTGGTGGACATGCTGGTCTGAAGCTCAGAGTCCAAATCCAGAAACACAACCAAGGGTTGTGCATCTCTCCAAAATAATGATACATCTGGGCAGCACCAGAGTTTGAAAAGAGGTAGAGCAAGAACTGAAACTTATCTGTAAAAACCAAACAATATAGCCTGTGTTCATGATACATTATTTGTTCTCAGTTTTACATTTCTATACTGACGGTTCTATGGCTGTAAAAAATTGCAAAATTTGTCCTACCAAGAGTTGCTGAATATCTTTTAATCTTCAGTTTGTTCCACTGTTCAGGCACCTTGGTTTGAAAGAGGTAAGAACAGCATTTCCTTTTTTACTGCACTGAAACCCCCCCCCCCAAAAAATGACATTTTCATGCCTATACAAAGAAAAAGCTTCAAATAACTCTTACTGCCATTGAGTAAAATACATTCTACAAACTATGTATTTAAGGAACAAAGATTGAACTGCCTCGATTTTCTTTTAAATAAAGACAAACGCCATATGTAATTTTCATAAAACTTTAATTCAATTGTTTCATTCAAGACCATTAACAAAAGTACATAGGAGAGCATCTGTGTAGTTCAGGAGGAACCCAGTGATCTCCAGTTTAAATTCATTTAGACTAACTCCCGTATGTGCATTCAGGCACAACAGATCACCCACCAATGCCACTAAAGCACAATAATAGATATCCTGATCCTTAAGATTAATTCTAATACTTTGTTACCTTTTCCCCCTCTTTTACTTAAGTAAAATGTATTTGTTATATTGTGATGTTTGAATCTTTCACTAAGAAAAAAGCACACATTACATACAGTATATTTCCACCCACAGGTATTTGGGATGCAGACCAGTATTATTTCTACTAGAAAAAAAGCCATCCCAAGATTGTTCTTAATATTTTGGCGGTTGGCTGGGGACAGAGGACCTTATTTTTACTTCATTTTATTCATTAGCAGATATTGAGATTCAATGGAACAAAAAAGGAAAGATGTGCAAAAAAAAAATACATTGTATAAAATAACTGCTGGATATAAGATGCCATTAGGAATTCTGCACCTGGGGAAATTGCTTATGGAGCGTGTGAATACCGAAAAGGTATTGAAATGCTCCAGATTTCTCAAAGTAAATCATATAGTGACTTAAACATTCACATACATCACAACACCATGCTTTCACTCCAGCTCTTGGATAAAGTGTTTCAAAACTGCTCAAAAAAACCGAGCAGAGAAATAGCCTCTGTGTTTTAGCCCACACATATGAGAAACAGGATCCTCCTTATGAAGGGAACTTTGCTTTATGCATTTTGTAGGAAAGCATAGTGGAAACCATTGGCAAATGAGAATAATTTAGTTTCCTTAAATGAGGGAGAACAAATGGAGGAAAATAAGCAGGTGAGCTCTAATACATGCCCACACACACACACAACCCACACAAACACATACATACACAACCCACATCCACAACTGGTTTCAGGTGCAGAATTCCAGACATTTAAGCGGATTCAGCAAAGATGGGGACAAGACAATGCCACACAACCATCACTCTGATTTTAAGGGGAACAGAAACCCTTAAAAAAGAAAAAAAAAGGAAACAAATCTAACCTCTACCATTTCTAAAACACCTTATGCACAACAATCACACACACTCAGGAGAGAAACTCCATGTATACTGCAGTATGAAACCGTATCAAGTACATCATACATGGGCGGCAGGGAACAAATGGAATGAGAGGGTTCCATTGCAGGTGATGGAACAGGGAGAGGTGTTACACATGCTTATTTATGTGTGCCTGTCAAGAGTATGTATGTGTGTAAGAGCATGTTTCTGCAAGACAGCAAAATTCCCTTTCCATTGTTGTCCTCCATTCTGGGATTGCATTTCTAAATCTGGGCCCACCTATTCCAGACAGGGTGGGGTATGTACTGTTCAGTCAATGACACCCGGTTGACGGGTCTTCCGCTCCACGTTGAAGCCCTAGGTACAAAACAAAAGAGACCGGTAATTATAAGCAACACGCTTTACACATCTTAAATATCAATCAGAACTTATTATACAGCATTATGCTTTCAAATGTGTGTACCTTTGAGTTGTCAGGGCCACGGGGCTGTCTCACAATGACTAGGCGGGGGGCGCTAGAATCATCCAGGGTGATGCTCTTGAGCCGGTTGACCAAGCGATCGGGACGGGGGGTTGCCACCGGTTTAGGCCCTTCACTGTGGTAGAGAAACAAGACAGCTTTTTAACCAACAATATACCGTCTAGGTTTAGGATAACTGGGTCATAAATGAGACATGACTAGTAAATGTGGAGGCTAGAGGTTCAATTTCACTTATTCAGTTAAATTGACTTTGGCTGCCATCCACGAAACGGACATCCTTATTGGGCAAGTTTAGGTAATACCTCAGTTTCTAAAACATTTTAGCCCACTTCATGGGTACTAGTACAACCCCCTGCGGTCAATACCTGACTCTGCGCACGTTGCAGGCACTACATTTCCCTGTGCGTTGGTTGAGGATGACTGAGAACTCCACCTCATCCCCAGCCTGGAGCTCCAAGCCATCCTGCACCTCTTTGACATGGAAAAACAGCTTCTTACTCTCACCAACTTCATATGTGATGAAACCAAACTGGGGAGACAAGACAGTACAGATTGAATAGGCATAGCACTCAACATGGGTAGCCACACCAAGAAAGTCCAAAAACAAATGATACATCCTTATTACTTCAAGTTAGAGTTCCTTAACAAACTTGAAAAATAAATAAAAGGCTTATTTTTAAAGGCAATTTAATCCTGTCTGCCTGCACCTGTTTCAACAAGCATGAACAGATACCTGATCCTTGACGCACTCCACTAGGGCTTTGCGTTGGGGGACAACGTTGCAGGCCATCTTCTGTCCTGTCTGGGCCACTGTGCACAGCTGGAACTTCACCAGCTCTCCTTTCTGCAGACAGTCTGCCTTGTTTGTCATGCCCACGATGCCAAAGGGGTAATTCTGACCCTTCGTGCCATCTGAATGGTTAGAGGGACAAGATGAATGGTCAATTTAGCCATTTGGTTATTGTAGAGTATGTGCAGAGTAAAACATTGAATTGATGGACATAACCCTCCACTGCCAGTGGAGACGTGCCTTCCTCCGAGAGCTCGATGAGCCCCTGGTACTCTGTCTGGGACGGGTCCACACTGCGCAGAGGGCGCACCACCTTCCCCAGCATCACAGTCTCACCAACATCCTGCCCCACATCATTCACTGCAATAACAGTACACCATTAGCATAGACACTTTGATTACTAATATATAAATGCTTCACTATAGAGCAGACTGTAGTGCAAAATCAAACAAATGACTAGAGCATTGTCTTGCCTACCTGCTGCCACCTTATTAACCTTCTCAGCGCTGACTTTGTTTCCTTTGCCCTTGGACAGGGTGTATTCCACAGTGTCGCCCAGCTCCAGGTTCTCCATGTCTCCACACAGCTCACTGGTACAGACAGATACAGGCAGCATGAAAAACCTGGATAATTATTTTTTGGACACATCTAATGTGATAGCAACCAACATATTTTACACTGTAGCTTTCCTGCGTTGAATAGTTGTACCTGTAGTGAAAGAAGATCTCTTGATCGTGATTGGCCGTCTCAATGAAGCCAAAGTTGTCTTTCAGGGTGGCGATGTATCCCAGCAGCCTCTTGGTGTTGACGGTGCGGTTGAGGATCTTGATGGTGACCGCGCTCTGCTGGCCCGTCCTCTTTACCTCGTTGATGGAGAACTCCACCTAGAAGACAAGGTTGGATTTACACCAAATAGAAACAGCCAACTCCAGGATATATTTTTGGGGTTGGTATGTTGCCATTTCGACAAAGCACATTTGAGCCAGTGTTGACTTGTTTTACTGGTTTGTTTGTTTTAACTTGTAAACTGGTTTTCAGTACCTTGTCTCCTGCCTGTGGCTGGGCAGCTCCCTCCAGATCTTTGACATGGTACGAGACAGTCAGCTTCACTCCACAGTCCTCATAAGAAATCACTCCCTCTTCTGCTTCCTACAGGAGGACACATCAGCAAACTGATTAGACTGGCAGTTCCAGTCAAAGGTTGGCTAGTGCTCTCCTCTCCAGAACTCAGGCATTGAACTGTAGCACCTTGATGTCACTTCGAGGACCCTCCTGTGGTTCTGAGCATTGGGAAATGTTAAAATACTTCCAGAGAGGAAAAGGCACCCTTCCTGGCAAAGAAATTGAATTACTGATCTGAACAGGCTGGATAGGCGAAAGTAAAAGGGTAAAAAAAAAAAAAAAAAAAAACATTCATCCAAACCGGTGCAGATCAGTGATTACTTCAGAGGAAGGGAGGAATGATGCATCTTTGATATAAGCTTTGGAGTATATCAGATGAACAGCAGTAGCAAGTCCTTGTTAAAAAGCTAAGCGTGCAGATGACTGGCACCAAGATGTGAAACAGCACACATTCCAAAGCACCCCTGTTAGTATTTGGTTAGCATTAGCCTTGACTGTTTGAAATCAACACCTTTGTACGAACAGTGTTAAATGTCATATCTCCTTAGGAACTAGTAAAGCAAATTTCAAGACTTCAAAAGTGAGAACTGTTTTTACAGAGGAAATGATTTAGAGGTTAATTAGTAGGACTGAAACCATGCCGTCAACTCTGGGTTGAGGAGCACATTTAGAGGGCCATAGACCACACCACTGACCTTTACTACTTTATATTAAATATACACATTTAGTCTACCTATTTGGGCGTACATGTCAACTATGCATGTCTGCCGAAATGTGAAGAAGAGCAAAGGTTAGGACATGAGGAGTGTAAGTAAGTGAGCAAAAAACGAAACTTTGTGAATTTAAGGTAACTAGGGCAACTTCTCGCAATTTAGCCAATTTGAGGAGACTTATCCAAAACTTGTGTCAACCCTGTAGGAAAACATTTCAATAGAACAGGCGTATGGGCATAAATAAAGCATTGATCAGGGTGATGGCATCATGCAAAGACAAAACTCCTACCTTGTCTTTTTTCTAATGGAGAGAAGGAGCATGAGGAGGAGAGGGTGAAAGGAGAAAGCAAAGAGGAGAATTAGAACTAAAGAGGGCTCATCAAAAATCAATGGTCTGAAAAATGCGTGATGGTAATGGGAAGTGTGTGTGTGTGGGTCTCGGAGGGGTTTTCAATTTCAATACTGATCAGACGGGGGGGGCTTGGGGGAGAGAAGTCAAAGAAAGATCAGGCAGGGAAGAAAGACAACCAAAAGTGCACTGTAAAAAATTAATCAAGGGACAAAAGTTATTGACAATGTTGCTGTGGGCTTCCTAGTGCTGCCCTGGGTGCTCTCATACCTTCTCTTTGGCCTTGCTGGGGCTGGCGCTCTTGTTGGTGATGGCTGCCGTGGCCTCCTTCTCCACCACACCCACAAAGCGCTGCTCAGACTGGGTGTGGAAGGACACTGTACCCTTGGGCAGCTTCTTGATGCGCACTGCGTGGTTCCTCTGGGCAGACAGCATGTCCTGCACAGGAGAGGGGAGGGAGAAAACACCCCTTTCAATTAGTGTTGGTGTTCGATAATGCTCTCATTGAGATTGTTTGGATTATATTGTGGAGGTAGCCAGAGACCAAAATACATTTGGAACGCAATGCGCCTAGGAAATTTGAATGGGTTCAAAGAGTGAGAATCCCTAATATTTAAAACAATTGACTGCATGTTCATTTCTAAATCAAGAGTTCCCTACTAAACTAACACCCTTGGAAGATCAGGGGTTGCGTTAACGCAGAATTCTGTGTTTTTCACAAGAAAAAAATACAACGCATAAGAAATATTTTGCTGAGTTTTGTGAATGCAGATCTAAAATGCTTCTTATTGTAATTTCTGTTCGACAGACTTAAGTGTAAATCATAATCCAGACGCTAGGACACAATAGACCAGCATACCATTGTGACATAGCTACATGGCTCCAAGACCACCAGCCGCGGGGGACGTAGAGGCCAAACACGCAACTCCCCACAATTCCTAACCAACGCGTCTCCAGTACGCGTCCTCTATTCATTTGAATGTGTTGACAGTTGGAGAAATCGCTTGAGCTGCGCTGAGAATTCGAAAAGCATGAATGCCAATGGTCCAATATTCTAAAACACTGCTGTGCGTACATGTTTGGTACTCCGATAGACCCTTCATTTTGTACTTCAGCTGCACTTCTCCACTTGGATGAGAATTCACGAATGGGCATTCTATCAGCAGACTAACTGATGTGTAGCTACTTTTCTCTGGTACTTTTCTCATTGTAGCCTACTTCTCTCTGGTAAAATGCAAGACTAACTTCAACCAAAACATTAGAAAGAATGTAGCCAGCTACATTTCCTATGATCAGACAAATGACGGCCATTCATAATTTTTTCAAAAAAGACTTGTAAGCTCATTTACTTGTGTGGCTGCTAGCCAAATAGCGCTGCACTTTGTCATCTGATGAAAATTAAGCTTTTTCTGCCAAATGTGTTGCACAAATTTTCTGTGAAGGAAAACTATAGTTGCACGCCCCTGATCACTATTGAAGAGAACAAAAATCTTTCAATATAAAAACGCAGGCGAACTGATTTAAAATGAAGATTTTTTTGATGGTCTGCATTTGTAGATTTCGGAACTCTAACAACCCCTGAAGATGGACAGAAAGGTCAGGCGAGAGGAAAGGAATTAAAAGACAGCATTTGTATGTTGAAAAACGGACCATGGACGTTTTCTCTGGACTCACGGGCACAACGGTGAACTCGACTTCGTCAGATATGTGCAACTGGCTCTCTTCCAGGACCTCGCTAAAGTGAAAGAACATCCTGGCGTCCCGGTCCACACACTTGATGAAGCCAAAGCCGTCGCGCATGGCAGCGATCACACCCTATAGGACAGAGAGGAGAGGGAGAGACGTTAACACACAGCAGAGATGCCGTTGATTCTATAACATTTAAAGGACAGTGCACTGCAGATACAATGCTGAAAAGTGCCATCCTTCCCTTTCATTCGGGCCTGCAGGTTTCAGCTCATGCATTTTGTAGGATATACACAACAGTATGGACTAAATTTTTGAGGAATGCAAATATCAGAGAATTGAACTAGGTTGCCATATTTCACTGATTAAAACCCCACAAACAAGCTTCCTCAAATGAACTAGAGGGCGTACCATGGATCTCCTCAGGGTCCTTACCATCTCACGGGACTCCTTGGTGAAGTGGAAGGTATCGGGCAGGATGTCGATGTTGGTGGCCCGCTCCAGCTTGTCCCTGCGGTCCGTGGAGATGTTGAACTGCACATGGTCTCCCTCCAGCAGGGTCACCTTGGACTTGGTGTCCTTCTCACCAAACAGGAGCTCCTTGTCCGTGTAACTGATCCTGGCACAGATGCGGCCTGGTAGTGGATCATTCTGAAAGACGTGGAGGAACAATTTTAAAAGTTTGATCATTATCATCATTAAATAATCTATATGATACAGTAAAAAACAAACTCAGGTTACTTGTAAGCATGGAGGCATGGTGTAAGTTTCTGACCTGGTTCTTGGTTGGAACTTTAGGGATGACCTTGGCAACAGTGCCTTCAAACTGCTCGATGCTGATGTCCTCAAATATGACTGTCCCCTGGGCGAGCAGCCTCACGTCAGTGGCCACCTCTTTCCCCTAGAGGAGAGAAAACAAGATGCTTTAGTTACTTCAATGTTGTTTTTTCCCCCTCTATTAGGACATTATTTTGCATCTTTACAGGCTTATGGCAACAAGATGTATTAAGAACATATACATGAGTCATTTCTGTTGAATGGCTTTTCCTATTGAGACATTCTGACTGCCATTAAACCTAAGTCTGCTTTGACAAGTTGAATCGCCAACATCTTAAGAATAACAACTTGATTCCAATGATCCAAATACTGGCCTCGTATTCTATACTTTTGCAATTCACCACAACTTGAGTTGGCTGGCCAGAACGTTTCCATGTGATGCCACCTACGTTTCTCTCTTTGATGGTGAACTCCACGTCGTCGCCGGCCTGCAGGGCCTCCAGGTCGCCCTTGAACTCGCTGTAATGGAAGAAGATCTCCTTCACCACGTCAGCTCTCTCAATGAACCCAAAGGCCTCCTGCCAGACACAACACAAAGGGTTATAGAGCATAATCAGGCACGTAGACTAGCCAATGTCCAGCCAGGGATCCACAAGTGTGTAGTGTGGCTTTACCTTGGTGGCACAGACAACCCCCTGGCACCTCATCTGTTTCTTCTTTACCAGGACAATGTTGTGAGCACTGACTGCACCGGTGCTGAAACACAGAAGATAGGCATGAGGAAACGGCTTCGGTATTGTGCAATCAAACATAGTAAAAAATGGAAACTCAAGATAATTTGTTTGGGAAGCAATAAGACACAAAGAAAAACAACTCACTGCTTGTTGGTTTCCATGTAGAAGCTGACTTTGTCTCCCGTGTCCAGGTGCATGTTGCCCTCTATGTCGTCTGGGGTGTAGGTCAGGTAAAACACCTCCTGCGTGGGAAGGAATCCATACTTTACATTACATTGACTACCAGCCTTGACATGACAAGTCTCTTTCTTTAGGCCATTTGACAGTCTTACCCCATTTCTCTCATAGCATACACTGCCAGTGGGCACCTGCCCTGGAGCAGACTTGCCATCCAGGTGAGTAGGAATCGCTGAGACGACCTAAAGGACAGCAAGAACCACAGGGGGAGGAGATGGTTAAGAATGGCATTTGGGTGAGTCAGACAAACACGAATACCTAACTACAATCAGTGTAATTACAATAATCAGGTAAGTGAAAACGGACAAACTGGTTGATTTCCAAAGGTATATCAAGAAAGCCAAGGGCTACGTACTGTAGACACTACTGCATGAGATGCCAAATAGTCCATTTGAATGAATAAAGGCCATTTGAAGAGAAGGCTAATAGAAAAGACTCCAATGGCTTTCAAAATATCACATCCAATCAAGCTTATTCGATTTACTGACTTTCTGGATAAAGATTTATACTATGTATAATTCTATATTTTCTATTTTGTTTAAACATTAAATCCCACCTCCAGCCAATAAACACCACACAAAATGTATGTCGAGGACAGTTAAGCCCACTGTAAATCTCCATGGAAACAGATGGTATTCCTAGTGTTTCAGACAAGCAGAGATACTAACGATAACACAAATAATGGAAAGACAAATGTGGATTTAGAATCAGATTCAAATCCTTGGGGAGAAAGGTTTAGTATAAAAGAATGTACACATCTATGAAACTATTAAATGAACAAAAATGAGTGAAAAGATTTACAATGAGCTCGAACATACCCGCAACCGACAAACAAACACCAACATTGAGGTGACACGGACAAGAACAGAACCAAAAGTAAAATGGTGTTCCTTAACTGGATGAATATAACCATGCAGCACAGTAAATGGAGAGGCGTGCGAGTCTGGCCCCACCTGGCCCGAGATGCGCTCCTCTGGAAGCACCTCTGGTTTGATCTTAAGCAGCTTCACTGCTATGGGCTTGCCAGTACGCCTGTCTGAGGACACTTCAAACGCCACATCATCTGGAGAGGCAGAGAGAGGAAGAGAGAGAAGGAAGGAAACAGGTTTTGAGAAAATGTGTGTTCCACACCAAATACTAACCGTACATTCATGGCGTTCCATCGACTTAAAGGCTGCCCACCGTATCTTGTGAAGAGACCAAGGCAGAAATCAATTGTCACCACTCAGCTCCCAGGATATCTTAGGGGGATTTTCATTTTTGACCAGATAAACATGAAGTGCAGTTTCCCAAACACAGATTAAGCATAGTCCTTGACTAAAAAACAAACTCAAAAGGAGAATCTCATTTGAAAATGCTTTTTAGTCCAGGATTAGGCTTAATCTGTGTCTGGGAAACCACCCCTAAAAATGTTGTGTTGTTCAGTATATGGCTGGTGGATGAGACTAGACTACTAAAATGACTAGAAGCCCTGGCCTCTCACCTCCTATCTTGAGCTCCTGCAGGTTGCCATTGTATTGGGAGCAGTGAAAGAAGAGGCGCGCCTGCCGCTCCGAGCACTGGATGAACCCGTAGGAGGTGAGCAGCTTCTCCACCACGCCCGTCTCCCTGATGCCCACCGCCGTGCCGTTGGCAAACGCAGTGTGCCCATTGTGGAGCATGCCAGGGTCAAAACTCATCTGAACAGAACAAGAACGGAGAATGTTACTCATTGAACAAATCAAATGTCAGTCAAAACACAGCCCTTAAGCTTTGAGAGCTTATAAGTGGGATTGTGTAAATGTATGATAGAACAATTAACTGACAAATTAAACTCCCACATACACACTGATAGGATCTATTTTACCCAAACATGCATTTAGTAAAACACACATCTACAAATAAATCCCTACCCAAAATGTGCTTCCCGACAGGTGGTTGAACCAAAGTTTGGAGAGACTAACCCAAAGAGCTTTCTAGTGTTATATGACAATTTCCCTCTCATGTGAATACCGGTGAGCACACAGTTGGCCAACCCCAGATGGGTTTTCATGTCGATTCAGACCATTCACTATAGGCTTGGGCAGTATACTGTATATACCCTATACCGGGGTATTTGTAAAAAGCCACAGGTTGGTTTTTCAATACCTTTAAACTATTTCTTAGATTTAAATTATTATTATTTTGAATATTTGAAGCTACTTTTTAAGTAAATACCTGCAGTCAACTTGTGCAATACGTTAGGAGATTTTAAAAAAACATCGCGTTCTTCATTTCACTCGTCACATTATGTAGTTTACGGTAGTCCCCAGTCACATGGTGTTTGTTTACAAGCACACGACTAGAGACTGGAGCCTTGTGCACCAGGTGATCCAATTACAGTATGAAATGTACAACTAAACTGTTTGCCAGCTAGATATATCTTATAACTAGTAACTTGTCTAAAATGTGCTAAATGCTCTGCAGTTGTGCATTTGGTTTGCTAATTTAGTAGCTAGTTCGCTATCTAGCTAAGTGGTTAGCTTCTTCTAAAATCAAGCATTCACTTGGTAACAGCAGAGAATTCCCTCCTGGATCAAGAGCCTTGCTGGCTAATATTTGTTTTATGCGTGCAACAAACTGTGAGTTGCATTTGAGTTACTTCTATAGTTTAGGTTAAACTGTACAAAATGTTCGCAATGTGCTCATTAGCATTTAGTTAGCGTTCTCTATGAGGATTCCTTAAAACTTGTTAGCATTCTGATTAAGTGACTTTTTTAGGTCTTTTTTAACATAAAAAAAATAAAAAATAAAATAACCTTGTATGCACTAGCGGTAATAACATATATGCCGGGATGGCACAGGCACGGTATGAAGGTATGGAAATCTGGATACCACCCAACCCTAATTCACTACCAATAAAGCCCACACTGTATAGTCATTTCTAGTTGGCTCAAGATAATCATGCACTTCTATTCACTCAATTTCTTTAGGTTTGGAACATTATACATGCAAAAACTGTTGGTTATAGAAACCATTGCCATTTTCCATTGACTAGCACATTAAGTCAAGATGAACTGGGTGCTACAATGACTTCAAAAGCACCAGAATCAGTCAAGAGCCACTGCAAAACAATCAAACCATGCGGTTAGCAAACGTCACCAAAGGAGACCACAGGAGCAGACAGGGCAGTCCATCACTGTGACTGTGGGTGCAACCGATGCAATGCCCACACAACATGCCCACTTACTGATCTCTGATACAGGGGTGTCCGCTTGTGTTTTTTGTGGGAGACCGAGAACGAGCGGGGGATAGCCACCGCAGAGGCCGTATTACGTGCCAAAGGGGGTTCAGAATGAACTCTCTCCATATCCGACAGTGGGCTCAGGACTGGGTCACACTGTTGGGATGGTCAAAAGGTTTTTGGAATTCAGAGATACTTGGAGCTGTGGTTTTAACCATGAGCTCAGATTTCATTCCATTACACCTCAGCGTTCTAGTTCTTTAAAATTATATTCTTACGCTTTCTTTAATTGTAAAAGTGAGGGGCAAGTAAAAATACTGATCGATACTGACCCTGAGAATCATAATTATAATAAATAATTATAATAATATGCCATTTAGCAGACGCTTTTATCCAAAGCGACTTACAGTCATGCGTGCATACATTTGTGTATGGGTGGTCCCGGGGATCGAACCCACTACCTTGGCGTTACAAGTGCCGTGCTCTACCAGCTGAGCTACAGAGGACCACATAATTCCATAAGAGAAACCCATAATTTTATTGAGTAATTAGCAGAGACCTAGCATCTCTAGCATTAAGATGGAAATTAATGTGCTGTTTGGCTCTACAACACTAAAATGAAAAAAAAGTGAACGTCCGAGGTCGTTTTTGCAACACCCTACAATGATCAATTTACCCCTATCACAAACTAACTAAAATAATACAAAAACACTTGCCATTCAACATATTTGAAGGAATGGACAGATGGAACAAAGGGTAGAGGAAGGTGGTCATGTAAAATGTTAATTGCTGAAGTGAAATCATGAAATTCTGTTACATCGTTATTGCCTGAAATAAAGTTAAACTGTCCAGTTAAATTCTCACTTTTTAAAAGTTAACAGAATATTAACTCATCCCCAAATAATGTTGTCGACTCGTCCTATACTCGTATGTGGCCAAAGCATAATTTGGAGAAAAAATAATAAAAAACACATCCTCAAATAGACAGTTAAAAAAATGCTTGCCATTTCCTCAGAACATGTCATGTTGGCTAATTGGCTGAGCTGGCCAATCAGCGGTCTACTTGCGTGAATATTTTTTATGACTGGTTAAACAGAAGCGCATCTACACAGTAGGGTAATAGTGGGTTACATGAACTGTCCCAGAGCTGCCTAGTCCCCTTAGGGGGCTTTCACACCGAATAGGTTTGGAGTGGTCTTTCCCCCAAACTCTGGTGTGTTTACCCCCTTAGTTCAGTTCGTTTGGCATGGTGTGAACACCATCTGCACTCGGGGGCGCAATAAACAACGCACTGTGATTCCCTCAAAAAGAGATGACGATTGGGATACAAAAATGATGCTTCTTGAAAATCATAGATGGATTTAACGTGCACATTTTGTCCAGTAAACAAATGACTTGCATGGACTTGTGGTTTTGTTCGTTTCACTAAATTTAAAAACAACCGGACCAAATGAAACAAATACAATGTAACAAATAATCGAACTGATTCGAACTATTGCTTAAAACTGTTCGTAAAAAATGCCCTTCCCAGCAAAGCATCAACGCTAACAGAGTTTAACTTCCTAGTAGTTAGTGGTTCAGGTGGTCCGTCCTAAATATTTTGATTTGCTGGTTTGATACCTAAGATTTCAGATTAAGCGACCTTGTTTCCACGATGGCTGGTGCCATGCAGTTCCAAATCATCTTACAAACTAGACCAAATGTACCTACCTTGGTTATAAATTAGATTAATTTCAGTCTACTTATTACTTGAAGAATGCCAAACAGATTTTGTACCAAGTCTCGTCGAAAATGTCTTCTGTACTATCATCACTAAACAGAAGTAACTGATCAAACAGTTTGTTTATATTGTCTACATAACATGGCAATTACAACACTAACCATATCCCACACCTTTAATCTCAGGGGACGTGGGGAATTGCACAAAGCATTTACGGCGTCATTTACATAAATCGTGGTGGGTAAAACAGAATGAAACAAACCCAAATCCCCAGTAACCTTTAGACCACCCTGTACCTGCTACACTGCACCTGAGCAGAGGCTAGTCTCTGAGTCCAGAGGAATGGAAAGGTTATGCTAGTCAGAGCAGAGAGGGGCAAGGTGGGTGAATGGGTGTTCGATGGGGGGAGAAGACGGGGGGAGGAAGTAGTGGGGATGATGGAACTTACGGATCGGCCGTACGGTGACAGGCTGAGTCCGACGGGGGAGGTGCTGCTCAGGTCAGCTCTAACGAACGCGGCAGGTGGCGACGCGGGCAAGGTAAACTCGACAAAGCCTTTCCAGGGGCTGCCCATATTTTTCCATAAACTTGAGTCAAACTCCCCTTTGTTGTACTTGATTACTGGTTTGCTTGAACGCCTTGATTTTTCTAGTTATTTTTCCTCTCTTTTTTAAAACCACCCAGTGGACGTCTGCAAGGGTGAAAAGGGGAAAGGGACAAAAATAAATAAAAGGAGGCAAAATGTCAGCCAGTGAGCAGAGTCAATCATGGGAAGGGGTCTGTGGGAATGAGGAGACAAGGGAACAGAAGGCTAGATGGGACCAGGTAGAGGGGTAGGATAAAGAGGCAGAGGAAAGACTGCTAAATAACTTCCATAACGAAGTAGGCCTATGGTTACAAAAAAAATACAACTTCACAACTGCGCTAAAATCTCTCTGCTAGAGTTGGTGCAATTAATCTGGCTTGTTACCAATTGACCCAAAGAAAGTTGCAGAACAATGAATCCTTATAAAGTAGATGCAGAGTTCATTCATTATAATTTGAGGTTCCGTACTGGATGGTTTGTCCAAAACTAACAAACAGCATCTGAAATTCAAGTCACTAAAGTGAATGAGCGAATTACGGGAGCTGCTGTGCACGTAGATGTCACACAAAAAAACGAAGGGTTTTCTACAATATCAAATACCACCATCAAGGTATGGGGCAATATTACCATCTTCGTTAAAATTGTAGCACATGCACAAGAGCAGCATATTGTTTAATCAAGATAGATTTCTGGGACATTTAGTGGATTATTTGTTTTCATAGTCATAAATAAATATCTACATTGCTGCCCTATGACTGCCCAGCAGGGAACCAGAGTAGAAATTGGGAGCGTGTGTTTTCCCCTTCTTTGATTTAACATCAAATGACATCTACAGTGAGGGAAAAAAGTATTTGATCCCCTGCTGATTTTGTACGTTTGCCCACTGACAAAGACATGATCAGTCTATAATTTTAATGGTAGATTTATTTGAACAGCGAGACAGAATAACAACAAAAAAATCCAGAAAAACGCATGTCAAAAATGTTAAATTGATTTGCATTTTAATGAGGGAAATAAGTATTTGACCCCTCTGCAAAACATGACTTAGTACTTGGTGGCAAAACCCTTGTTGGCAATCACAGAGGTCAAACGTTTCTTGTAGTTGGCCACCAGGTTTGCACACATCTCAGGAGGGATTTTGTTCCACTCCTCTTTGCAGATCTTCTCCAAGTCATTAAGGTTGAGGCTGACGTTTGGCAACTCGAACCTTCAGCTCCCTCCACAGATTTTCTATGGGATTAAGGTCTGGAGACTGGCTAGGCCACTCCAGGACCTTAACGTGCTTCTTCTTGAGCCACTCCTTTGTTGCCTTGGCCGTGTGTTTTGGGTCATTGTCATGCTGGAATACCCATCCACGACCCATTTTCAATGCCCTGCCTGAGGGAAGGAGGTTCTCACCCAAGATTTGACGGTACATGGCCCCGTCCATCGTCCCTTTGATGCGGTGAAGTTGTCCTGTCCCCTTAGCAGAAAAACACCCCCAAAGCATAATGTTTCCACCTCCATGTTTGACGGTGGGGATGGTGTTCTTGGGGTCATAGGCAGCATTCCTCCTCCTCCAAACACGGCGAGTTGAGTTGATGCCAAAGAGCTCCATTTTGGTCTCATCTGACCACAACACTTTCACCCAGTTCTCCTCTGAATCATTCAGATGTTCATTGGCAAACTTCAGACGGCCCTGTATATGTGCTTTCTTGAGCAGGGGGACCTTGCTGGCGCTGCAGGATTTCAGTCCTTCACAGCGTAGTGTGTTACCAATTGTTTTCTTGGTGACTATGGTCCCAGCTGCCTTGAGATCATTGACAAGATCCTCCCGTGTAGTTCTGGGCTGATTCCTCACCGTTCTCATGATCATTGCAACTCCACAAGGTGAGATCTTGCATGGAGCCCTTGGCCGAGGGAGATTGACAGTTATTTTGTGTTTCTTCCATTTGCGAATAATCGCACCAACTGTTGTCACCTTCTCACCAAGCTGCTTGGCGATGGTCTTGTAGCCCATTCCAGCCTTGTGTAGGTCTACAATCTTGTCCCTGACATCCTTGGAGAGCTCTTTGGTATTGGCCATGGTGGAGAGTTTGGAATCTGATTGATTGCTTCTGTGGACAGGTGTCTTTTATACAGGTAACAAGCTGAGATTAGGAGCACTCCCTTTAAGAGTGTGCTCCTAATCTCAGCTCGTTACCTGTATAAAAGACACCTGGGAGCCAGAATTCTTTCTGATTGAGAGGGGGGGTCAAATACTTATTTCCCTCATTAAAATGCAAATCAATTTATAACATTTTTGACATGCGTTTTTCTGGATTTTGTTGTTGTTATTCTGTCTCTCACTGTTCAAATAAACCTACCATTAAAATTATAGACTGATAATTTCGTCAGTGGGCAAACGTACAAAATCAGCAGGGGATCAAATACTTTTCCCCTCACTGTATATCAAATGTTATTTGATACATGCATTTGTGAACTGCTTTAATAGTGTATCAATTGAGTCCTATCAAAATCAGTCCTTGATATGTGTAGATAAGTAAAAGCCTCATACAGGGTAAAGGATTTTTTTCAGTTTGTGCAAATTTCTTTGGATGGACACGATGTCTGGGCATGTAGAGGATGCCTTTCTAGACCTCGGACACATTCTAACATGCATCATAAAAAACAACTGAAAGACAGTTTTTCAAAATCCTACTAAGCTTGGCAATAGAAATTCAGCTGCCCCAACACATTTATGAATATGTGTAAAAAAAGAAAAATGATGTGCCTACCTTGATTTGGCGTCTTAAAAAGGTGTGGTCTTGAACACTAACGCCTGTGCAGATGTTGCAGATCTTCTCTTCACAAAACACACACACTTATTTGTTGCAGGTTTCTGGCACAAGTTCTGCGTACGAGTTGCATAAAGAAAAAAGGAAAAAAAAAGAGAGAAAGGCAAACGCAGGTGCAATAACACTGCTTGAAATCAACAAAATGAACAGAGCAAGAGGAGATAGAGGAAGGAGATGGGGATACAGTTAAAGGAATGGAAGAAGAAAAAAACTAGCAGACAGCAGCCCTCTAAGCACCCCGGGGTGAGTCGGTGGTGCGGTGAGGTGAGGAGGGCTGGGAGCAGCGTTGGGACGTGTGCTTTGTCAAAGCTGTTGAGTAGGCACAAACTTCTGGTCTCAGATCAGTTATCTTCTCGGTTTTGCAATTTTGCCAAAGGATTGTTTCTCTTGAGCGTGTTTCGATTGGGCAGCTGTGTATCTTGTGTCTTTGGTTGTTTCTTCGTTTGGTTGCGTCTAGATTTTCCTTTGAAGTGATCCTTTCCTTTTATTGAGTTGTTGAGACTTTGTTCATTTTGGGATGTTTCTCTTGAATTTGTTTCTTCGTTGTGATCTGAACTTGAAGAAGCAGTTGCGGATAGTACAAAAAAATTCAGTTCCGTTTCACTTCATACTGTTGAGAAAAAGAGATACACTATTAGAAAATAAATCAGATTATCAATGTAGCCTACATACAGCCTACTGATGTGAATAAACAACTAGCAAATTGGGTGAAGCCTGATAAATGCAACATTTTTGCTTGAGAAATTGCGCTTTGCTAAAAAGCCATTTTCATTTTTTTACCATTTAAAAAAATTGGACACAGTCACGGTATTTGTTACTCAGAAATGATTTGATATATAGATAAAAACAGCTGCATTGGACCTTTAATGTTTTTATCATCACATGAGAAACAGTTACAGCTGCCTGTGGACTAGTGCCCTGGGTCATTTCCTTTTCATGTGAATGCAACTCCAGATGATTTGCCCCCAGGCTAACAGGCCTAAAGATAGACCTTCCTCAGCTGCCCCTGCACACAGCACCAGCTGACTACATGCAAGTCCTGTGGATAAACACGTCCCTGTGCATACCTTTGATCGTATTGATATTTATGGAACAGTTTCTGACCAGGGAGGTCTGTGTAATCATATGAGCTATGTGGATTATGACAGTCTCAGACACTGATCCTAACTGTATGCACAGTAACAAGAAGCAGGAACACACCAAGTTTGGCTTTTGGGACATCCCCCTTGGCTGGGCATTGCTGGTATTATTGACCTCAATGCAGCAGTATGAAAACCAATTGGCTGAACAGGGCCACGTGAAAACTAATCTGACTTGGCTGTGTCGCAATGAGCGTCATCCCACATGGTTTCCAGTGTTCAAAAATAATGTTGTGAAAGGGGTCAAATTTCATCCCAAGGAGTGGATGGGTCTTTATAGGTCCTATTTGACATTCAGGCTAGAGTTGTTTATGGACAGCAGCACTCAGTTGAACCTCTTTGAAGTCAAAGTTTCAGTGAAATGATGCAATCTATGGCTTAAGGTGTTCGCATGCTTCCCAGCCGAAACTCTTCGGAAGAGTTTGTGCAGACATTATGACGACATTTTTGTTCGTTTTGAACTATGGGGGAAAAAATGGCTATTCGCGCACAACATTTTTTCCTCTAGGCAAGCTGAAGTCTACGCACCTTCGTCGGTGATTGGTCAACAGTAGGGATTCTTCAATAAAGTCATTCAACGAGAGTACTTGTTTTCGTGCAAATTTTTTCATTGAGAAATACCAATATAAAGCAAGCAGGTGCCTTTAGTCTATCATAAAGGATCCCTGTATACTAGTTATCTACATAAAATAACAATTATAAACTGGGTGGTTCGAGCCCTGAATGCTGATTGGCTGACAGCTGTGGTATATCATGACAAACACTTTTTTTACTGCTCTAATTACATTGGTAACCAGTTTGTAATAGCAATAAGGCACCTCAGGGATTTGTGGTATATGGCCAATATACCACGGCTAAAGGCTGTATCCAGGCACAACGCGTTGCATCGTGCTTAAGAACAGCCCTTAGCCGTGGTATATTGGCCACATACCACACCATCTCTGGCCTTATTGCTTAATTATAACACCTTGCCATTCGGATGCCAATTGACATCTGCAGTAACATGTGGCTTGATAACACACTTTAGTGACCGTTTGGTTACTCATTGTGTGGTTAGGCTGTCATGATGGGATTAGCACAATTCGACTACCATTTTGCAAGGTGCGTTGAGACATTACACCGATGTAATGTTAAACTGAAGAATGGTCTGCAATTTCACCACCCTTGGGGTAATATGGTCACATTGATTGAAAGGAGTGGGGGAACGCATGTTCACTCCGACAACAACCCTTGCTGAAACCAATGAAGCTGTCCCAGAGAGCCAAGTCTGGGACCAAAATGCTCCTGAACAGCTTCTACCCCCAAGCCACAAGACTGCTGAACAGTTAATGAAATGGCTACCCTGACTATTTGCATTGATCCCCTTTTTATTTGCACTTCTCTTGCACCGGCTCTATGCACACTCACTGGACTCTACCCCAACACACATACATATTGACGCCACACACATACTCTCACACGGTGCTGCTGCTACTCTGTTTATTATCTATCCCGATTGCCTAGTCACTAGGGATGTTAACGGTTCACAGATTAGCCACCCGAAAATACATTTGACCGCTCATGCTTACCGGTCTTTAGGTTAATTTTCTGGAATAAAAATTGGCGCGTGTACTTTCGTTAGTCGTCATGCATTTTATTTATCACACGCACACAGCATACAGAGCCTAGTTTGAGGAACGGAATAGCCTACCACCTGTTAGACAGCGCAAGTGTAACTCCTCAAAAAGCCTGTAGGCTACTGGAGTGAAACAAGCTTTTGTAAGCCGTCATTGCGCCAAAAATAATTCTAAATGCAATCGCGTGTTAAAAACGTTGTTGGCCACGAATAACAAATAGCTATTTTTATTTCTCAATCTCAACTCATAAAGCGCGCCTCCCATTTGGATGCATAGGCTATAGTATGCCTACTGTTGACTATCAGCACATCATCCACCACTTTTCAATTTGAGCTTGAGGCAGTCTAATTGTTTGAAACCTGAACGTTTTACTTTACTTCAAATAATGAGGCATGTCTTACCTTGCTTCAATGTAGCCTTGCGAAAATCCATCCATAGAAATATGGAGAATTTTATGATGACTTCCTCATGCCATTAACCAGCATTTCTCTCCTGTTTTATTGGTTTTCATATCAACTTTATTTCGTTGTCCTGAAGCCAAAGGCACAATCCTAATCATATTAGCAACCCATCATAGTATTTGCTATTAGATCCCCCATCTTTAAGTTTCTAATGGAGATTATCATCTCTGTCACATATGGAATTTCTCGCAATAGGTGCGCTGTTTAGAACTGTGGTTTCAGCTAATTGTATTTTGGCAAATGTTTGAAAATTACGTTTTATTAGCTGCTTCCTTACAGGAGTTGCACGATCAATAATAGTCTATAGCCTTTTGGCTGTAAGACGATAGGCTTGCTATTGTTGCATGTTTCCATTAAGCTCTTAATGACAAATGTCCAGTCCTTGTATGCATGCATAGAATAAGAGGAAGCAAAGCAAGAGGTTTCGCCAAAATCTGTCCAAAATAGGTCCAATGCGTTTCTATGGGCTTATTTTGGGCCTAAGCTTGTCACCTGCCTTGGGCCGACTCCTATTGTTAGGGCGGAAACATAAGCATCTCGTTATACATACAGTGGGGAGAACAAGTATTTGATACACTACCGATTTTGCAGGTTTTCCTACTTACAAAGCATGTAGAGGTCTGTAATTTTTATCATAGGTACACTTCAACTGTAAAAAATGTCAAAAAGCCAGAAAATCAAATTATTGATCTTAATAATTCATACTGTGATTTTATTCTGACATTTTTTGATTTTAGAAATTTCCCGGGTCTCACAAAGTTAGTGTTCTATTAAAATTACCCGTCCTCACTCTTTGTATGGAACTGCAAATCGGTACTGTATCAAAGACTGTCCCCCCACTTCAAACAGCTCCACGTCCAATCCAGTATCGGACAGTGAACAAATTTAGGCATAATTTTGGCGCTGGGATGGCCACAGACAATGGCAACTTTGAAAGGCAACAAATGTTTAGGTAACGTCATCATTATTTAAAATGGTTTTGGGGCAACATGATTGTATGAACCACCGTGTGGAATTACAATCATTAGGAATACATAGCCCCCCAATTTTAGACCTAAAGACTTGGACAACTAACATATCAAAAAAATTGTGACACACTACGCCGTCATGGATTAAAATCCTGCAGCGCACGCAAGGTCCCCCTGCTCAAGCCAGCGCATGTCCCGTCTGAAGTTTGCCAATGACCATCTGGATGATCCAGAGGAGGAATGGGAGAAGGTCATGTGGTCTGATGAGACAAAAATAGAGCTTTTTGGTCTAAACTCCACTCGTCGTGTTTGGAGGAAGAAGAAGGATGAGTACAACCCCAAGAACACCATCCCAACCGTGAAGCATGGAGGTGGAAACATCATTCTTTGGGGATGCTTTTCTGCAAAGGGGACAGGACGACTGCACCGTATTGAGGGGAGGATGGATGGGGCCATGTATCGCGAGATCTTGGCCAACAACCTCCTTCCCTCAGTAAGAGCATTGAAGATGGGTCATGGCTGGGTCTTCCAACATGACAACGACCCGAAACACACAGCCAGGGAAACTAAGGAGTGGCTCCGTAAGAAGCATCTCAAGGTCCTGGAGTGGCCTAGCCAGTCTCCAGACCTGAACCCAATAGAAAATCTTTGGAGGGAGCTGAAAGTCCGTATTGCCCAGCGACAGCCCCGAAACCTGAAGGATCTGGAGAAGGTCTGTATGGAGCTATGTCATGCAATAAAATGCAAATTAATTACTTAAAAATCATACAATGTGATTTTCTGGATTTTTGTTTTAGATTCCGTCTCTCACAGTTGAAGTGTACCTATGATAAAAATTACAGACCTCTACATGCTTTGTAAGTAGGAAAACCTGCAAAATCGGTAGTGTATCAAATACTTGTTCTCCCCACTGTATACAGTCAGGTCCATAAGTATTTGGACAGTGACACAATTTGCATAATTTTGGCTCTGTATGCCACCACAATGGACTTGAAAGGAAACAATCAAGATGTGCTTTAAGTGTAGACGTTCATCATTAATTTAAGGGTTTTGTCAAAATGATTGTATGAACCGTGTAGGAATTACAACCATTTTTATACATAGCCCCCCAATTTTAGAGGCTCAAAAGTAAAATTGGACAAACTAACATAATCATAAATTAAATTGTGAGTTAATACTTGGTTGCAAATCCTTTGCAGTCAATGACTGACTGAAGTCTGGAACTCATAGAAATCACCAGCTGCTGGGTTTCTTCCCTGGTGATGCTCTGCCAGGTCTTTACTGCAGCGGTCTTCAGTTCCTGCTTGTTCTTGGAGCGTTTTGCCTTCAGCAAGTGAAATGCAGGCTCAATTGGATTCAGGTCAGGTGATTGACTTGGCCATTGCAGAACATTCCACTTCTTTGCCTTAAAGTATTGGGTTGCTTTC